AAAAAATGATTATTCTAAATATTATGTTTCTATAAAAATATACTGTGCTTTAAAAATATAGATGATAGTACCAGCCGCTCTTTCAGCCATTTCAAAAGCATCAGTTTGTTTAGAAATAAATTGTGCAGTTAATGTCATAAAATTCAAATAAACATCAAACGAAAATTCTCAGTTTTAGACAATTCGATTTAAACGAAGTAAAGTAGCAGACGATAAAACGCCGAAGGTAAAAATTTACTCTTACAAAAATTGTACTCTTATTTACAAAAAAAAAAAAAAAAAAAAAAAAAAAAAAAAAAATACAGAGAAATTTAAAAAATAGTTAAAAGTTTGAAAATATCATCTATAATTAAAAAAATAGCTTTTCATATAGTATTAATAAATATATATTACGCATCCTTGAGGGAAAAAATGTCATATAATTAATTCTTCGTAAAATTTTACTTGAAATTTAAGGTTAAAAATAGCTGTGGCAATTCACTGTAACAAAAATCCAAGGAGGTTAGAATAGAAGGAGGGAAGGTTCAACTCAAACGGTGAAGCTTGGCGGCCATCTTCCTGTTATCACCCTGACTTGTGCAAAGAAATCTGTCATTGCAACATTTTTTTCTTTTCTTTTTGAAGCATGTCAGCTTGTATTGCATATGGATGCACAAATAGATTCTCGAAAAAAATTCCGGGCATTATTTTTTACACGTAAGTATTAATTTTCTTTTTTATGTAATATGACAACTATGTCAAAAAATATCACAATGTCATGTGGTTTTCTTTCCAGATGTGAAAAAAAAGGACTTAAAATAGGTTATTTAATATAACTATAATCAAAATATATTAAATACATTTTAATGTTTCTGTTTATAGCTGGTTTATCCTTAAGATACAATGCTATATGGTAGGATTTAAATTGTATAATTTGAACGTTTTAGTTAATTCGTTTTATAACTTTCATGAAAAGTAAGAAATCAATTGTTACTATTTTTATTAATTGTAAAGGTGTTAAATAAAGCAATGCTTTTCTTTATATATTAATTATTATTCATTTTTTAAGATAAGATAAACTGTTCTGTTGTTAAAAATTTTTTGCATAAACTTACAATTTCTGAGCAGTATAGTGATAAAATTAAGTAAAATATTTACACAATTGAACATGTGGAAAGATGTATCCAAAAACTTATATAGGTGTATTTCTGTAATTCAACTTAATTAAAGGCAGTTTCTTGCGCTTTAGATAAATATGAAATGCGCATAAACTGAAATCAATGAATTCACATAAATCTGCTTTATTTTATTAAGATTTATTTTCTCTAACCTAAGCAAATCCGTGAAATATGCAGAAACACATCATTTTTTAAAGGCTTTAATGTTATGCGCATGCATTTAGATTTCGAACTATTTCTTAATAATTTGCTGTACATAGTAAATTATGGATATCATCTTTATTACTTTAAAACAAAAATTCAACAATAGCGAGGGATTTCATTATAAATTTAACATATTTTTACTGGAAAATAAATGACCGGAGCAGTTTAGAAACACGTACATGTCACTGCCGTAATGCAATGTTTTGAAGTCACAAACATGGACGCCGCTTGTTCGGCGGAGTTTCATTCCCCGATAATGGAGGAAATTGCGAACCCTCCCTCCTTCTATTCTAACCTCCTTGCAAAAATCCATAGACCACATTTGGCGTTATTATCGCTCAAAAAAAAAAAAAAAAAAAAAAAAGATGCCAAATTTCAAAACGCGAAAATATGTAAATTCGTGTATATCTTAGAAATTTTGAATAAAAAATCTAATTTTTTTGCAGATATTCTTAAAAATACACCTACTTTAAGATGATGGTAAAAATTTTATAGGTTATAATTCAAATTTTTTTTTCGAAAAATTTATAAAAATTATTTAAAAATAGAAATTTAAAAAATAAACCCCAAAAAATGGGTAAATTTTATTTGGAATGAATCTAAATTTCGAAATGTGAGAGAAAAAATCAAAAAAAAAAAGTTTAATAAAAAACAGATATTAATAAATATTTGCCAAATTCAATTAACATTGAGGAGCTAAAATTTTGAGAGCTAATATTTTAAAAACTATTCGCACGATGTTTTACAAAATTTGGTATTCTGGCATAAATTTGAGTCGTAGAATCGAAATATGGAAAAAAAAATTGGTATGTTTATTTCAGAAAAAGTCCGATTTTGTGTCAAAATACCTATGTTAGAACAATGCTATATATAAATCTAATATATATCCTAAGTCGCGCTTTCGAGACATGAAGAACGCAATTTGAATTTTGTGAATCGCCCCAGTAGAACGGGAGATATAGCACTGTCCCATTTTTTTTTGAGCAGTGTACATATGCAATAACTGTATCATTCTTCATTTTTTTTAAGGAATGCAGTGGTACTTTTCGAGGTATGACTTGTTAGTTGACTTTAAAACTTTTTCCCTCTATTCTTTTTTTTTTAAATTTTCCATTTTAAGAGAATCCTGTGACAAAACACTTTCTTTGCATTGGCGTGAACTTCTTAACTGAAACTTTCTTTGCATTGGCGGAACAAATTTAAACATATTTTCGCTTTGTTTTCGATAATATGTAGACCTTCTTTTATTGCAGTCATTTAGGTACATTCATGCTTCATCAAGAGTCACAATGTATTTCCATTTATCTCCCGCTAAATGGTTTTCATACAAGTTTCTACAAATCATTCTGCATTGACAAATTATCCTTCGTTATAAACTGAAAAGATGGCGAAATATGTCCATTTAGACAAAGATGGAATATAGACCTCCAATTCATCCCTATAACTATGATAATGATAAAATAATGTTATTTATTAAGGTATGTGTTTCTAATAAACATGAGACACCGTTCATATTGACCCAATTTACATCGGGGAGAGCATTCCTATTTAAAGCAGAGTAACAGCTATCGGATTAAATTGAATTGGAAATAAATCAGCTAAAACTCATTGACATACACATCCATTATCCAAGTGTCGACGAACAGTGTAAGGCCATTAAAGTTCTAAAGTAATATAAAGAAAATTTAAACATTAGTGCGCCATTCTTTAGCGCTTGTGACTGGTTAATTCTCTCATGTGATTGATGTATCCAGCCATCTCATTTATTACGCGGTATTTGCATTCATATAAGACGAAGGGCTATAGAATATTATACAATAAAACAACCCCAGGATTATCAGCGAGATTAAATTTGTTATTTGATGTAAGTTGTTTGTTTTTTGACTACGAAGGGAAAGATCTATGTGACAGCAAAATAGATGTTATATATATATATATATATACCCTCATGTATAAAAGCATACATTTTCCCATCTTAGTTTGCAGAATATTATTAGGTTATAAATTGCTATTATAATATTATTCTTTGTTATTTAAATACGAAGGGAAAGATCTCTGTGACAGCAAAATAGATGCTATACCCTCACTTATGTATAAAAACATACATTTTTTCCTCCTAGTTTGCAGAATATTATTAGATTATAAATCGTTATTATAATATTATTTTTTGTTCTTTGAGTACGAAGAGAAAGATCTCTATGACAGCAAAGTAGATGCTATATATATACTCTCACTGATGTAAAAAAAACACATATTTTTCCATCCTAGTTTGAAGAATATTATTAGATTATAAATCACTATTTTAATATTATTCTTTGTTCTTTGAGTACGAAGGGAAACATCTCTGTAACAGCAAAACTGAGGCTATATATCCTCACTGATGTATAAAAACATACATTTTGACATCATGGTTTGCAGAATATTATTGGATTATAAATCGCGGTAATTAAGCTCCCGAAATAGCAGAGATGACGACGAGTGTAAGGTTTATTCAAATTCTTTTATGTGATTATTAAAATTAATGCAAGAAGCAGAAAGAGAAACCTTATAACATCTTAGAAAACGATAGGGTCTTGATCGTCAGAAATCAACAAAACTGAAATGTAGTCATATTGCAGAAAACATAAGGTTTCTCAAAGCAATAAATACAAAATATATGATGCGGATACAACATGACTTCCTTGTGCGGCCTATTAAATTATATACATTCTCCTGCACTTCATTTAAACATATTTAATCGAATTTCATTAGAGATATATTTCTCATTCGTTCAATTCGTAAGGCAAAAATATATGAAAACTCAAAACATCTTCATTAAAAGTTGTAAAATACAAAAAAAAAAAAAAAAAAAAACCTAAAACATCAAATAAGGTTAAAAACAATTAGAAAAAACAACTTTCATAATTAAAATTAATGTTTCTTCTCAAAAATAAACAATTTGGTCAGCGGGCAGGAAGACAAAATTTTCGGTGTAGAAAACTGAAATTTGACTTTTGGTGTAGAAAATTGAAAGTTAACTTTCGGTGTAGAAAACTGAAAGTTAACTTTTGGTGTAGAAAACTGAAAGTTAACTTTTGGTCCCATTTGGCGAAAAGGCACTAATGTTGTTGCATCAACTGGCTTAATTCGCTATTCTATTGAGAGTTCCAACTGCAAGTAAATGTTACATTTGAAACATCGTTAGGTTTAGCGGGACTTTTAAATTGTTGATAATTCTACAAGTATTGACGAAGATGGCGTAGAAGTGTTGGATATGATATCCATTTACACCAAGAGAATATTCACGGAGAGATGCGATAATTCTTCACAAGATACAACGGATCGTCTGTTTACATTGATTTAATGAAGATGGGTTATTGAAAGAGAATCTGTGAATATAAGGCAACACATTTTTACACAGCAAACAAAACGAGAAATTAGAAATTTTGTAGTTGAGGTGCACGTGATCAACATAATTCAGCCGTATGCCAGTAGCTTGAGAATTTAAAGTACAAAATCTCTAAAATTCAAGATTTAAGAATCTAAAACTTTTCGGACGCTACATTCCTTTAAATATTCCTCCGAAAAGCCATCATTTATTTCGGGCAGGTAGCCTTTGTACGCTTTGACTTAGTCGTTTAAACAAACAAACGGACTTACCGGGAGGTGTGGCAATTCCGTATCCTTTGGAATCGAGCAGACCCCCTACTTGAGTCAAGTCACAGTTTCGTTCGACAATGAATTCGATCGTTGTGGATTCCATCAAGAAGGCATAGTTTCCTTTTTTCACCCTTTCCACTCCTTTCTGGTTATTATCAGTGAAGACGGAAGGTCTTTGGGACTCCATGAATGACCACATACGCTTGTAGGTGGGGAATTCAGATTCCTACAAGTAGAACATAACTACTACAAAAATTGAACATAGAATGATGTCGTCAAATGCCGGAAGTGTATTCCGTGCTTGAAAATAAGCAAAAAATATACAATGACTATAAACAGAAACGCATATTCACGTGTTACGAGACTTTAATTCTGCCCTTAAAATAAACACTGCACAGCCCCCGAGAGACTATTCACGTGGACTCCCCGAGTCGACTCCGGGCTTTATATCTCGTCTTGGCAATATATTTGAAACGCTATGACACCTTACGACGCGGATGAAAAAGATGAAAAATTTAATAGATAAAATTTCCTATTCTGATCAAGAAAAGAGTTGTAGAATTGATGAATAAAATTTTTCGATATTTCCGATTTTAGAATAGTGCATAAGCAGTTTGCATTTATACAGTCTTGGTGTCCCATAATCCTGGATTTTTTCAAAAATCATACAAAATAAAAAAACTAGCACATCAGAGTGCCATTTACATATAACGTCTTATGATAAAGGTTATGAGATACATTTTGATGACCTCAGAGATCACGAGACTTATGTACAGCTTTTGTAAACAAGCAAGGTCATTCTTCCACTTCTTCTGTGGAATGTATCTCATTCTTTAGGGCAAAAGAATGCTTCTTAGTTCGAACTTTCACCAACAGATGGCGCAATAATACTACATCACGAGAATATTTATGGATGGCGCAGTACCATATTATACAAATAGAATGAGAAAAATTAAGATTAACGGCATTTTTACGTCTGCATTTGTGAAAATATTACAGTATTATTAACGATGCCGTGGTCATTCTTGAGTTCTAGATTGCATTCAATTTTTTAAGATTCAAGTTTGTGCATTTCCGTGATTTAATGATATGATAATACCTATCAAAGAAACATTTTAGCTAAAATATACATTGCATTCTCCCTCCTCCCCAAAATTCCTTGCCTGTGATATGCTTTTATGAGCAAACTACACTGTAATGAGCCATTTATCAGATTTTATATAAATTTTTAAATTACGCATCCAAATTTATGAAATTCAGAGTAATTTATGTGCATTAAAATGATAAAAATAAAATGGAATAGCGCACCATTTTAAAACGCAACTGGAAATTTTCATTATAAAAAGGACCATTGGAGAAAGTGTTGACCCACTACGTTATTTATCAAAAATCTATAATACTGTTTATATTAATATATTTTGAATATGGTTTTTCTTTTCTTTCTCCCCCTTTCTTTTTTTTTAAACCTTTTTTTAAAGTTTGAACCCTAGCCTTGTCGGCATAAGTTGCCAACGTAAAGCACTTTTATACGTTTTGTCTGATTGAAAATACGTATAAATACTAATTTTTAATGGTTTCAGCATATAAACTGCTTCTAGACATTCTATTTAAAAATTTTAACTATGAACTTATCATTATAAAATACTAATGCCTGAAAGTCAATATATTTGGATTTCATTTGTTTGTCTAGTTAAAAGATATTTGAGTTAAATCTTTACCAAAAAATCAAAGAAAGGCAGTTAATATTATTTTAGACATTTTTTTGAAAAGTTCATATTTCGAATGAAAAACTTTAATTTTAACTTAAAATTTAAAACTAAATGATATTTTATTTTGGAGTAATATTCCGGTTTAACTGATATAAATTTAACCTGAATTTGTTAAGGTCTGCATTAATTAAATTCTCTCAAGTTATTGACTAATTACCTTTCCCTACGAGCACAATAAATGAAATATGTTTGAAAATAACAGACTTACTTCTTTCTTCAAAAGCCAACAAGAGTTATATAGATATAGTAAATCTTATTGTATGCATATGTATAAGAATATAATAAAGTGTATATATATATATATATATATATATATATTCTATTATGTATGTATATAAAGAATAAAATAAACTTTATGGAGCGAAAAAGCAATTTAAATTCCACAACTGATACAAAAGATTCTAAAAAGAAAACATCAAGAACGTGTTTTATATTGTATTGATTCCCCCCTCCCATTCCTCATCTCCTTAAGAAAGAAGCATACATTTTTCCTTTTTATTGCCATCAAAGAATACATACATTTGATTTCTGATTTTAAAGAAAAAACGATGTAACTTTATCTTGTTCCGCCTGTAAGAAAATATTAGAATATAATAGTAATAAATGTAAGAACAGTTAAAAACAACATAATGAGAGAACAATAACTCTGAGTCTCATGCTAACCGAAAAATGATTGTCATTTGAGTTTCTGTTATAACAAACTGAAGGAAGAATAACGACAATTACAGCTTCTGAGAGAACTTTTTTAAACAGACCACAGAATGGCTAAAACAGACTAAACGATAAGCTGAAAATAACTGAATTTGCAATTGGCAATAGCTTTGCGATGTAAAGTGGGGGTGACGTATTCCTTGAGTTATATGGCATTCAATTCTATGACAGCTGCTAAATAAATTATATATAAGACCATTGTTTTTAATGAACGGTAGTCAAATGGTATTTCGTTCTAAAATAATGTCTTTGTTTTTTATTCATTTGTTAGATATTAGTAGCAATGAGTTACATAGATTCATTCAAAGCTCAGTGAACGGTTAAAAATTCATACTCCGGTGAAATTTCATGTGTGGTTATTAGCACACAAATGCATGAAATTACATTTAAAAGAATTTATTATGTAATTTTTAGCTGTTATTATTTAATCATTATCATTGCACCTAAGAATTCTGAATATATGGCACTGCTTTCGCATCATCACGGCCAAAAGTTTCCTTATCCTAACTTGTTAAAAAACAATATCATTGTTGACGGATACGAAAAGCAAGAATATTGTTGCGTTCTACGGGTTCGTAGATTTTCAGTAATTGACGATAACACGTGATGAAGAATCAAAACACAGTTTATCCGCCAGTATTACATAGGACAGTTCCATCGACACGTTTACAGGCGTAAAAAAACTACGATAAACACACTGAAACAACCAGCAACACAACTTTTTCAGGCTATAACGGTAAAGTCTGCTTCATGGCAAAGCACTAAAGTACAGCTCCCGACTCGGTCGATCGCTCTCAAGCTAATCTGAGAATTCAACACACTGCTATTCCTAGGACAGGCACGGTATATATAGCTTTAACCTACTTTCGAGAATATTCTCGGAAAAAAAATGCGTTTTAGAATGTTTTCGCTCCGTCTATGGCATATTGCCAATTTTGCTGCCAAATATCGCAAAATGGGCGAAATCGCGTCAAATCTGGCAACCCTACCCTTTCTGCCAAATCCAACATCGCTTTGTGGGGAAGCTATCTCACTGCAGCTGGCCATTTCGCAACAATGTTATCTGACAGCAATATGTATGCACTACCTATATCTTCTGACTTATTCTTAGCTTCCGAAGAAACTGGTATAATAAGCCTTCATTTGAGTATGAATGGTCAACCAGATCTGAAGATGTAAAATACTATAATTTTGTTTATGCGAAATTGCAGCTGAAATTCGGCAATCATCAAGCATAGGTGATCAAATGGGAAGGAATTATATTATAGTATGTATTATTGATCCTTAGAAAAATGTTGTTGCTTCATGCTTTCTGACTTTGGCTTCAGGTAATGATGGCTGATCTATTCAGCATTTATTACGAGGTATTTTGCGTTATTTTAATTAAAAATTTTCCCCTAGGGAACTTAATTTTTATTAAAATGTTTCATAATAGAATTCCTTAATTCCCAGAATTTATGCATTTCCATGTTAATTGTATTTCTATTCATTAAACATTTTGAAATATATTTAAAAAATGTTTACTTCATGGTAAGTTAGATCCCATTTCAAACTTTCTGACATAACTCTCGCCCCATTTCAGTCTCTGTCAGTGAGGTAGATAAGAGGAGTTTCCATTTAAGCTTCTCATTCAATGTCAATGTTAAACCTGAAGTTATGATGGAAGAATTGATGTTGCAATGGATATAGGATGAGAGAATTGATGTTGCAATGGATATAGGATGAGAGCATTGATGTTGCAATCGATATAGGATGGGAGAATTGACGTTGCAATGGATATAGGATGGGAGAATTGACGTTGCAATGGATATAGGATGAGAGAATTGATGCTCCGTCGTCAAACTTTTCATTCAGGCACTGTTTGATAAAATATTAATTGCCATTGGCAGTGATATCTGATATATAAACATGAGAATTCTTTTATGTAATTAAAATTTGGTATTGTTATCTTGAAATAATACCTCACTGATATTTTATAGAATAATCGCACTTAAAACATTTTGACAGTTCTGCACTTTGAATAAAGGAAAAACTTGAGAACTTTTGAGGATTGGGATGGCATTACATCTAACCTAAAAATGGAATGTTCCAATGATTCTTGAAAATCGTCAGTGATCAGCTATCAGAAATTTTAATAAGGATCGCTCAAAAGGTTTGTAAAGGGTTTTCACGCTCTCGCTCAGCTCGCAATTCTACCAGTCTACTCTTCTACTCACTCCTGCTAAACCCCTTTTTTGTCTTTTTAGCTTTGTATTAAGCATCGTGTAACGTTGCGCGCCTCCAACGTGCACGCAACCAAGAGGTGACTGTGAAAACTGGATAAAACACAGAGTCTTGTGAAGGGTTTAAGTCCCTTTTTATTCAACGTAATAAATTACAATTGCGTGCTCTTGACGCTCACAGACTGCGCCAACTCGGCGGTCAAATAAAATAATAACCTGAAAAGAAACTAAGACAAGACTCTAACTACGACGAGGCTCTCTAAAAATAACTAACTCACCGCGTTTTACAATACCGCTGCTAATTCAGCAAACGTGAAGCTCACTTGAACGATTAACACGACTTCCCGGCAAGCACATAGGCCGAAACGCGGGGTTCTTCAATTTCTCGCTAACTACCTCCGCGCTCGTGAAGTAAGAATATCACACACCGAACTCGTTTCCTTACTATTTAAATCATAATACTTCCGCTGATAATTTGAATCCTTGCGCGTTCTACTAAAATTTACATATTCTGGCATTGGCAG